GCGGGAGCCCGGCCCCTTCCCGCCCGCATGGAGAAGGAGCGGGCGCCCCCGCCGCTGGCCGCGACCCCAGCCCCGGAGGTGCTGGGTGACGTGCTGCGGGAGCGCTACGGTCCCCTGCCCTTGGCGGCCACCATCAGCAGGATGAAGAGGCAGTCCTCGGGCCGCTACCTGTCCACCGAGCGGCTGGAGGAGGTGCTGGAGAGGCGGCAGGCGGCCAACGCCAAGGAGAGAGAGCGGGTAAGGGAGGGGCGAGGAGGGCCTTTCCCGCCCGCCTGCGCCTCCTCAGAGCGGGGCGCTCACGGGGGCGTCCCGCCCGCGCACGTCTGTACCCGCTCCCTGCTCAGGGGGTCGCCCCGGCTCAGAAAGGTGCCAAGGGAGGCTGTCATAGAGGGCGTCTCGGTTTTCCGCTGCTCTGTCCTTTCTGAATACGAAACCTTTAGGCATAAAAGTGTCTGGTTTCACACCAATAGAGGACAACCGGGCTGTCTTCGACGACGACCCCCACAAACGTGCCGCTAGTTTGTAAGGTAACGCTTGGACCGGAGTGCCGTGGTGAGGCTGGGTCACGCTGGTATAAGCCCTCCAGCTCGAGAAGAGAGTCCCTCTTCAAAGCACAAACTCCTTTCAACCGGGCTGCCTGGAGATCTTCGCAGGGAGTGCCACTTTGCACCCGCCATTCACAAGAGAAACCCAGAGGTTTTGTATTCATGGTCTTAAAAACCTTTCTGATTTACAGGGGCTCTTTGAGCTCTTTGCAGCAGGTAGATTGCTCCTATTATTTTTTTCCAAAGTCCAAAAAAAAAAAAAAAAGTGAAAACAAAGAGCTGGAATTGGCTGAGTCCGAGGAGGGGTAGCTCAAATCTCAAGACAAGTGTCTTGAAGCTAAAAAAGTTGAGAAGCACTGACTTAAAAGTGTGTGTGTGTGGAGGGGGAGTACATTGGTCTCACCTCTTGGAATGAATTTTTTTCCCCCTTCAGGGCTGCCCCTTCTCTCTCTACTGGCACCTGAGTTGGATTTGTACCGTAGGTTCTAGTTAGGGAAATGCTCTCTCTGCAAACAAGAGCTCTGCATCTGTGGCAGGTACAGAAGAGTGCTCATCACAAGTAATAGTGTGTCCTGTGCCAGTTCTTCTGAGAGGGTTCTCAGAGTTCATTAATAACCTGGGTGAAAGCAACTCTTATCAGTAAACTAGGAATTAATAATCTTGTATTCTAGATAACCTATCCAAACACAGCAGTAGCCAGGTGCTGGATAGTAGCCAGATACCTACCTCACTTGCTGTCTTTGCAAGAGAGAGGTAAGGAGTTCTTTTTGACTCTCATGTCTCACTGCAGTTCAGAACAACGCTGCAGTTTTTGTGCAAAGTACAAGCTCATTCCCCAAGATATGATCACTTTGATATAAACCAGAAAAAAGGGAATTCAAAATTTGCGGCAACAGTAGCTGGGCAGCCAAGGACTTGAAAACTAAGGTGAGAGACCAAAACTTGTTGAAGTTAAATGCACAATGCACTTTGCAGGAGAGAGTAAAATAATGGCAGGCTGAGAAATGGGGACAACATTGAAATACTTCCACATGTCTGGCTGTTTACATGACAAAATGAACAGCTGTGGTGTACATTGTAAGCAATTTCTCCCTAATATTGTGGCATAATTAATTATATTAATAATGCAGTCAAACATGCCTGAGTTCTTGGCCCTCTGTTGGGTTTGTATCCTACAGTTGACCCATCTGAATCATGTCTCTGAATCGTAGGTACTCAAGTTACTGGAGTGGAAATGTCCATAGGATCATGACCTAAGTATTCAGTAGGTTTAAAGCTTTTACTGTGTGAGCTGTGGAGATCAGACCAAGGCTTGGCCATGTGCTTCTTATTCCTGATACGTATTTCTTGTCTCTGAACATTTGCAATTAGCCCTCCTATCCCCCGTATTCTCATTTACTTGATGAAGATGTCCCCATGTTTATAAACACCAGCTCATATAACCCTTCCATCTTGCCCCTGGATCAGAAGGGGTGGGCAGAGGTGCAGTCCCAAGGTATTCAGGTGCACTTCCTATTCCAGCTAGATTTACAAAGGACTAATGGATGTTATAAGCCTATTACAGACTTGAGTGCCTGTGTAACAGATGGTCATAAGCACCTTGGAAGAAGATGTGAAAGAGGCTCTAAGTCCTTAATTGTTTGGTTGTTAGGTGGCCATTACAGCTGCTATTAATCACTGTAAGGCATTTACGTTAAAGTTCCATTTAGGTGATCAGTATCTTTTATTAATGTGCTGTGCATCCACCTGTAACTTTTTTTCTGTCAATTTGAAAATGAGCTGTATTAAAACGTGCCTCTTTCACCACTTGGTGGTGTGCTGCAGCTGATGGACTGAAGGTTATATAATCTTTCATGTCTGTGTGTCTGGCAGATCAGAAACTTGAACAGTGGTTTTTCAAAGCTGAAGACGATTGTGCCATTGATACCTAAAGACCGGAAGCCTAGTAAAGTTGACACACTCAAAGCAGCCACTGAATACATACGCCTACTCCACTTGATCTTGGAAGAAACTGGAGGCTTTGAGGTACAGGAAAACTGTCCCTTAACTCAACATAATCAATCTGTTATTCTTTAAGGGGTGCTGGTGTCAACATACATCGGCAGATTTGATGACTGCTTATTAATGTTGTTAGCAGAACCCTAAGCATAACTCCAGCCCAACTTGTGTACATCTTGATCTTCATATTGAATATGCTACCTCTTTAAAAAGAGCATGCCCTGTTACTTCCTTCCTATTGAGTAAAAATACCAAAGTGAATAGGTCAGCTTCATTTGGAAACCTGCTAATAAATGGCGAATGTATTCTATATAACCAGTTATCTGTACCATGGTGACTCCGTCCTGACTTCTGTCTTGGACCAACAGAAACTGAGGACCTGTGGGCTAGATGGTGACTCTTCAGCTAAAAAGCTTTGTTGGAAGATGTCAGTCTCTTCAAATGGTGTTGTGAGCAATTAAATGAAAAACTTGGAAGATTTTTTTGTTGTTGGAATTAAAAACATAGCTCTTAGCAAAAATAGAGGGTTTTTTGTTTGTTTGTTTTTTTTAAGTTTCCCTCACTCTGGGGAGAAACATAAGAAATTAGGGAAAAGTGGGGAGGAGTCGCTTTCTTGAACAACTTTTACTGTTATCTGGAATGGAATAGAAGAAAAGTCTGTCTGTCTGTCTCTCTCTCTCTCTCAAAAGGGAAGTGTGGGTATCTTTGCACCTTCAATTTACCTTTTGCTAATAGCAGATGGAAAAAAGATCTGGTGGGGAATTCTAATTTGTTGTTTCTTTTAAATTTACTTTCTGCTTTATTAAAGAAAAAACGTGTTTTGAAGGACATGTTTTGAGGGATGGGCATGAAGCCAGTTCTTCTCAAGCAGCTACAGTGATCCATGCAAGGCTGTAGCCTGCCAACTTACTTGTTCTGGAAATGATTCAGGCAGCTTGAAGGAAAGAAACTGATGCAGGTTGAGGGTTTGTCTGGGTGAGGAGTTGGAGAAGCACTGAGATATCAGGGGAGAGTTAGGTTTTCACATCTGTCTTGACACCTGAAATAAACTGGGGGCATACATAGGAGTTTAAACTCTCCTAATCTCTCTGAGGCTCTGGGAGGAGGTGTCAAAAAGTGGGCAAGTGACCTACTTCCAATCTTATTGCATCCTTATTTCTTCTGGGGCGTGAATTATGCAAGTCTGGATTCTTTTATGCTCCATGTGGCTCAAAGGGGGGCAAATATAGAGGTGATGCATGAGTGGGTGAGAGTCTGATACTGCCTAAGTAGTTTGTTGTAGGGAGTGTAGTGTATGATGCAACTTTATACCTTGTGTCCCCTCCAACACTGCTTGTCCTCCTATGATTTACACTCTGACGTGCCCACCATACTCTTTCTGAATTCCTCAAATGGCAAAGTTGGCTTCCCAATCTTATACTGCAGTTCTCCTTGCTTTCTCTGTAGGATCTCTCTGCTAGCATTTAATTTCCCTGTACTTAGGGAATTTCTGCAGTGGTACAAGTTAATGTTTTCAAGTGTCTTTTTTAATTCCTCATCTCTTTCTATTGCATCTAGAAACTAGAAGACCCTGCTGATCATGAGTTGCCTGACAGCATTCCCAGGCCAGTGTCCTTCATGGAAGGCTTAGCAGGGAACCCCCTGCCAAACAGTGCCAGCTCTTGCCTCAGGAATGAAAATGGGATGAATACAGCTTGGACCAGCCATGCCACAGAGAACCCTGTATGTGTGTGGGGGAGAGGTGTATTACCTGCTTACCTGGGGATTGTGCAATTCCAGAAGAATGGAAGGCTGGTAAGAGTGAATACTGAGATTTCTTTGCGTAGAGATGTTCTTTGTGTGCATGTGTGCACTCAGCATTGATAGTAGTTAAGCCGATACATCATAGCCTTGTTATCTAACCTGTGGATGCCTAAACAGCTATGAACCTTTCCACCTAAGAGACTGATCCTCTTCCTGTGCAGGGCTGCTCTAGCTATCATCAACTACCAGAACTAGAATATCCTTGGCCTAAAACAGAGCTGCAGGGCAGGGGCACTACTGGCAAGGCTTTCAGCCTTGCAGTTCTGTCTGTTTTCTATCTGACAAAGTCAGATGTAAATAACTGAGGGTTTGGGTTTTTTTTTGTTTTTTTTTTCTAGGAGTGTAAGTACATGCCATTTCTTATTGCATCACTGACAAATATGGATGCTTAGTAATCCCTAAAATCAGGCTATATGGCAATCTACTTTTTAACTTGGAGGATAAAGGTACTGTCCCAGTTTAACAGCAGGCAAATTGAAATACTCAATCTGAAGGGACTTAAGGTGAAGTTTCACCTTTCAGGGAAAGATCCACTTTAAAAAGTGCAGTGAGCTGGAAAAATAATTTAAAAATTAGTTGTAGTATTACTAGTATAATTATTATTAGTAATAATAATGGCAGAGACTTTAATGTGCCAATCCTCCTTTAGATGGGCTGCCACACTCATCTCTGACTCTGCAAACTAATGTTGTACTAAGAAGACCCTAGGCTATTTTAGTCTCCATGAACAAGTTCTTGGGTATAGGCAATTAAGGCTCACCTACAGATGTAATTTAACATGGTAAGGCAGTTTCTCAAGCCATGACTTGTGACCCAAGAGTGGGTCACAAAAATATATGAAAGGGTCATGAACAATCTTTAAAAATGGATTCTCCATTAAAGAAGGAAAACATGGGAAATTGTGACTTTTCCCTTGCAGGCTGGCAGAGTTCCAGCCTGCAAGGGACTGCTTGGGGGGGACCCATGCTTCTCTCACACACACCCTAGCCTGGGGATGGGGGGCAGCAGGTGGGGAGTGAGAGTCCCTGGGTCAGGACTGGTCATCAGTACTTACAAATGGGTCCTGGTATAAAAACGGTTGAGAACCACTGTTCTAGCACATGAGAATCAGTTATGTATTACAGGAGACCCTTGACATTTGCAGGGGATATGTTCCAAAGATCCCTATGAATGGTGAAGTCTGCTAATACATCAGGAGTGCAGTGGCAGCAAGTGCAGAGCTCCTGCAGACGCTGTTGATGGGAGTGGGGGGTGGTATGGGAGCATGGAGAGAGTGTGCGGGGAGAGAACATGGGTTTGAATATTCAAAACCATGAATCCTGTGAATGGCGAGGCTTTCCTTGTACTGTGAAACACCATTCTGTTAACAGAGGCTTTAATAACCAGGTTGTTTCAGAAAGCAGTGTGACTTCTTGTAAACCCTCTAGCTTCTGTAATGTGCACGCTGGTCCATTAGGGTCAGGTGGTTCTGGTAATTTAGAAGCTGCAAAATGGTTCTTCTATGATTTTGTTACAAATGCAACTTTTATTTGCAAGGATATTCATGAAGTTGCCTTTGCTTTAAAGTATCCAAATTTTATCTTTTTAAAGGTATATCAAACAAACCCCTAAAGCAACAAACTCTTCTGAATAGTCTGCAGTAAGTGATCTGTTTTAACCCAGTTTCCTGGTGTGGGGAGTTTCTAGTCTGCCACTTATAACAACTGATATTACAAGCCCTTGTGTGGGTTTAGGTGGTGAGCACAGGTGGCCAGTCTCCTTTATGAGAAGATGCTATGAGCCATCTCTTGGAGTTAGGCCAATTTATGCCTGATCCTCAGCTGGTTTTGTATGTAATTTCAAGACTGATTATGTCTTGTGCATTTCCTTTGCCATGCCTGGCATCAGGTCTCATGCTCCTAGTTTGTTTGTTTGTTTTTTTTTAAATTGTGCAGAGTATAAACAATGCAGGAGGTGGTAGGTAAGAGGAGATGGAGTGAAGACTTAATTGTGACCTCAATCATGGGTAAATCTAGTTTAAGGCTCTGAGGATCCCAGAGTTCTGTAATTGCTGTTTCCAAGCGTAATTAGCAATGCCAGCAGATATTATCTTGTTAGTTGCCAGGTAATTTTGCTTATTTAAAACTGCTCCCATTAACGGCATCTTTAACTAAACTGTCTTGCAGATGTCAAACTCTATGGATACAGAGAACTTTGTTTTTCAAGAGCAGTTTAAAGAAAGATGAGTTTCCCACTTCGTGGATTTTTGAATTTGCCTTATGAAAAATATCCAGAAAGAAACCAATAAACTACAAAGAGCTGATCATTCACTCCATCTTGCTTTTTTTTTTTTTTTTTTTTTT